AGAGATTTATTCACTGCAAGTATAAGCCAATTTTGCCAAGATTGAACTCTCTCCTCAGATAATGAAATACTCACCAGGAATAAGATTTTCCATGAAGAAAAAGAAAATAATAACTCCAGATCCCCGCACTGAGTCTGCCAACCCTGTCCTAACTGCAGTTGCAGAGAAGGAGGGAAGGAAGGAAGGAGGAAGGAAGAGAGGAGGGAAAGAAGGGAATGAGAGTTCTTTGTTCCTTGTCCAAAAGGCAGTATAATATTTATGGCAAGGTTAAAATGGTGGCATCTCAAATGTCACTGAACTATCATATTTTGTCCTTTACGCCTACTATGTTTTTCTTCATAATGCTTATTAATAGTGGAAATGAGCATCTATCATTCATATATTTGCCGGTTGTCATGAATATTCTCAACTGCAGGGTAAGCAGCTCCAGGCCGGCAGAGGCGTCATGTTACTGCAGCTGTCCCTCCAGCTCCTAACACGATGCCTGGAACGGTAGGCAAGTACAATATATTTGTGGGATGACAAATGAGTAAGTCGATTGATTAAATAATGAATTACTTAACTGGGGTATCATAATATTTTGCCTTTTCAAAATCTTATTATCTGGCTTCCCTTTACCCCTTCAGGCACCTTGACATGGAGGTGGGTGATGATAACATTACTCCCCAAGGCCTAGGCCCAAATGAGCATGTGCACTCGCATGCGTGAGCATGCACACGCACGCGCACACACACACACACACACATTTGCTTAGGCAAAGAAATTCAAGCTGAAAAGAAATACTCTGTCATATATATGACATTTATGTGTGCTAGAGGACACCGGAACAATTTCTATTTACTAAAACAATCTTTAAGTGGGTTTTTAGTTTGCTTTCCGTGAACATAGGTTAGTTTAATAATGAGTCATTACTCAATCAAAGCCACATGGAATTTCAGTCATTATTTCCTAAAGTGATTTCAAGTAAGTAAATGGAAATATATTCTTTTTTTCTATACATTTTTAAAGAATCAAAAAGCAGTTTTCAGAGCATCAATATTATTTGATATTCCTCAAATAATATCCTCCTCTGAAAGAGCACACAAGAAATGTCACCACTATAAAGAAAATGTTAATTCTGAACAAAGCAATTTTGGTGATATAAAAGTCAAATTGTTTAGTCCCCAGAGCTAGCTAGTGACAAACGGGCAGGGGTCATAGAGGTTCCCTTGTGGGAAGTGAGAACCTTTATCACTAGACATACTGCCATTTATTTCCACTGGTCCCAAGAGGGACCTATAGGAGGAGGTAAGAAAAAATTATTCCTTTTCAATTTCCACCCCTCTTCACTGAGCAGTAGACCATGATTCTTCTGTCTTCTACCATTACCTCGTAACCAAATGTAATTTCCAGAATTCCTAAAAAAAAGAATGGAGAAAAATAATACTAAATATAACTCATTACCCAAAATGATTCAATATCCTTTCCATGGAAAGACCTCATCCCTGTTTCTCCTTTCCTCCATACCTTTCCTTGCAAGTAACAGACTATCCCCCTAAGTGTCTTAAGTAAGAAAGACAAACCCTCACTTTTGCTGTTGGATCCAGAGGCACTGCAGTTCGAGAATCAGTTGGATCTGAATCTCAGATTCTCTCTTGGCTCTTATCCTCATAAGCATAAAATGGCTGCTTCAGCTCCAAGCATTATACTCACACTTTAGATTGCCAGAGGCAGAAACGAAGGTAGAACAGTGACATTCAAAAGAAGATCATATAATTTATCATTTGAACTAGATTTTTTTAAGAGAAAGAAGGAAATATTAGTAATTTTTTAAAATCCTCACCTGAGGACATTTTTTTCATTGCTTTTAGAGAAAGAGGAAGAGGGAGAGGAAGGGAGAGAGAGATCAGTGAGAGGGAGAAGCATCAGCTGGTTGCCTCCAGTATGCGCTCATTCCAGGGACCCCATGCACTGGTACCAGGGATAGTAGGCAGTCAGACTGGGGATCGTAGGTGCCCAGAGGATTGAACCTGCAACCTAAGTATGTGTCCTGACTGGGAATCAAATATGAAACTTTTCAGTTATGAGAGGACACTCCAACTAACTAAGTCACACCACCCAGGGCCAATATTAGTAATTTTACAGGAAAATACACATAAACCATCACTGTCTTAGGAAAACTGGGATATATGCTGGCTCTACTTAGTAGAGACAAAGGCATTTCTCAGAAGCCCTGGATGCTTGGAAGGGGCCTCTCCCCTTTCCTGAGCATGTTGCCACCCCTATAGGCTTCTGTTAGCAAGAAAGAAGGTGAGTTAGCTGTTGAGTAGGCAACATACTGTATCTGCCATAATTCTGGCCATCAATCCAATCTTAGACAATAAAACTGAACTTCTACATCAGGTCTTAGACATAGAGAGGGAGGCCTGCTTTCCTGAGAACAACGCTGCAGCAGAAGGTAGAGCTGTGATGGTGGTAACAATCCTTCCTCCAGACTTAAAACCTCACAAATCCCATTATTAGACACAAAAGTTTCTACTGTTTCATCGAGTTAGTATTCTCAAAGTGCATGGTGAAATGCCCTGTATTTGGCAGAAGCCTACACACGGTTTTTCAATAAGTGAACATTCCTTAGCCCAAAACATAGGCAGCCACATGGGGCCAGGATTCTCACTCCAGGAGACATATTTCAGCCTAAGTGTCAGGTTGAAAGTCTCAAAGTTGAAAATTTTAGAAAAAACACTTTGAGACCTTATTCTAGTTTCATTCTCCAGGTCATTACAATGAAGTACAGCCTCATACAATCTTTAACCATCCTATATTTAAAATCATTTCATGCACCTGAAACCCAAACACCACAAGGTCCTGAGGTTATTCAAAAGGTTGGCAAGTGATCAAACAGATACACAATTAAAATCTTTGTTATCCTTTTTCACAGCATCTGAAAACATAAAATCAACATTCTGTTTCAAGACTTTGTTTCATATGGTGGGAACACATAGATTACATGACTTCAAAACTGTAAAATTCAGGGGTCCAGGATGGCTATGAATGTGGCCCAACACAAAATCATAAATTTACTTAAAACATTATGAGATTTTTGTGTGTGTGATTATGTGTCGCAATGTATTTAATGTGTGGCCCAAGACAATTCTTCTTCTTCTTCCAGTGTGGCTTGGAGTAGGCAAAAGGTTGGACACCCCTAGAAAGTGCTGGGGGCGCTGACCTATTTCAAGTTCACAGCCAAAGGGGAAATACTGTCAGATTTTGACTTTCCTTTACATTTATACAGTATGATAGTTAAGGTCCAAAAACCGAGGCTCTGATATACAGTGTGAACACATACTTTGAAACCGTTCTTATATTTCCATTCTTAAATCTTCATTTCTATCTGCAATAATTGAAAATGAACAGGAGAGTTGAAAAGAAACATTTTTACATTCACCAAAGTCTGACGGCCGACTTAAGAGGCTGGGGCCTGGGTCTTGTGGAGACTGACATAGCATGTGTGTACTTTCACGTGCAGATGTTTGGGGCATGATGCTGTTCACTCAGAAAGAATTGGACTCATTCTCCACACCTCCAGGAACATCATTTCGAAAATGCCTGCAGACAGGAAATTAACCTATATGTCAACTGTTGGCCCTCTCAGCTTGTGAAATATTGAAAATCCCTAACTAAGTAGAAGATAATGGAAATTAGACAAGATTCATGAGTTTTAACATAATTATAATCTCATTATTTGAAAGTCATGGATTCTACTTTGTTTTTAGTATGTTAGAGAAACATGTCCCTTTCCATGAATATACAACATGTTGAAGAAACAGAGAGACCCAACTATATTTTAGACTTTGACTCTGGTGACTATTTACTAAGGAGGATTAGTGCTCTTATAAATGTCCTTTCCCAAATGACAGTGTAGAGACTCTAACCAATCTAGTCTATTTTAGCCAGATCTTTAGTATTTCATTATTATTTTAGTTTACTTTGAAATTGTCCCAAAACAACCAAAAAATCAACTTAAACATTGAGAAACATTCTGTTTCTCATGTAATGAAGATAAAGGCAGCACTGACTTTAATATAGATAGTCTTTATGGCTGACATTTTTCATGTAGCAACGAAGAAATTATGTCATAGGAAAAGATATTAATTAGGAAAGTGCTTTCCAGGAAAAGGTATTTTCTGGACTTACATCATTGCCAAGAGGTGGGGGAGGGAGGAAGCAGCTTTGTATCAATCAGATAAAAGGATTTTCATTTGGCACCTACTAAGTGAATTTGTTACAGTCTCCAGCTAAGGTCACAGATTGAACTCTAATGTCACCACGTCAAGTCCACCCTCCACCTTGGAAAACCTTGTCGATTTCCGTGCTTTGCGGTTCCTCATGCAAAGATCACATGTCAAATATGTCATCCCAGGAAAAGTACAGAAATGAATATGCAGTCATTGGATTCTATCCAAGAATATTAGAGGGTTGACAAACAGTCAAACATATTTGCAGGTAAAATCTTTCTTTTCTCCAGTTATCACCTCTAAAAGCCACAGATATATGTTTTATATGTGTGCTTTTAACATGCCCCATTTGTCTTAAACTAAAATTGTATATAGTGGGTCCTGGGATGACATTTTATTCAACTTCATTTCATTATAATTGATGAGGAAAAAAATAAATGGGCTCTGGGCTGGGCACTGTCTGCCTGGGGTTTGCCCATTTTCCCTGTCTGTGTGGGTTTTCTCTGGGGACTCCAATTTCCTTCCACAGCCCAAAGCCGTGCACGCGAGGCAGGCAGGAGTGTTTCAACTGTCCCTGTGTGAGCGAGTGTGGGTGTGAGAGGGTGCACACTGCAATGGAAGGGCGTCCTGTCCGGGGCGGGTCCCACCTGGCATCCTGAGCTGCTGGGATAGGCTTCAGCCACCTCACGACCCAGACTGGAAAATCATCTTTCTTGGGGTTCTTTTTGTTCTGTTTTGTTTTACAGTGTAAAATATGATGTTTAGAATTAGCCAGCTGGACTCAGTTTAGATGATCCTAATTTTGTTGGCAACGTCCAAAGCATCATAGTCAGGAACCAGTTGAACACAGGCTTTCTCCTCTCCATCAGGCCTGACCAGGGTGTTGACCTTGGTCGCATCAATGTCATAGAGCTCCTTCATGGCATGTTTGATCTGGTGCTTGTTGGCCTTGACATCCACAACGAACACAAGTTGTCTTCTATCTTCTTCACGGCTGACTCGGTAGCCAGGGGGAACTTCACGATGGCACAGCAATGAAGCTTGTGTCTCCTCAGGTGTTTTTCCCAGGATACTTAGGTGCCTTAAGGGGTTGGAATGTGTTTGGGCTCCTAGGAAGATCTTCTTTCATTGTGACTGTGGGCACCTTTCAGCGCTGTTTTCTTTGCCCTCAAAGCCTTTGCTTTGGCTTCAGCTCTGGGAGGGGCAGGGGCTTCCTTCTTCACTTTCGGTGTCATCTTCGTGAAAAAGCTATCTTACTAGTTTTTTATTAATCTTTCTTAAATGTACATAGAGCTCACATTTATTTAAATTTCCTATTAGAAGTGTTTTGGGTCTTTAGAAGTTTGGTGATGTCTTTGTGACCAGAAATATGCCTTAGAAATATAACTCTTCTTTGTATCAATTAGCCTATGGTAAAATTGGTGTCATTACACATTGTTTCTCTTCAAGTTGCAGTTTCCAAGACCTTATGGATGGCTAAGTGAGGACTTACTGTATTACTTGGCAAATGGGCATATGATTTTAGTTTGAGGACAGATTTCACCAGACAATGGGTGACTGGCCTCAAGCTTCCCGGGCAGCAGTTAGCTCAATGAGGTTCTCAGTAAAGGTAAGTCTAACCCAGGAAGGCACCTGTAGAAAAAGGGATTAGAAGATAAAACTATTTCAATAACAAGCTTTCTGTTCTCAAACTGACTCTGTAGTCTTCTATTAAAAAATGAAAATCCCTAAATAAGTGCAGCTGTTCTTAGTATATGAGTTTACCCTGTCCTCTTCTGAATATAAATCAAGCCTCTCCTATAGAATCAAAGACTAAACATAGATTGGGTTGCCTCGAGGAAGCAATACCAAAATTTAATTTAAGACCTCCACTGCCACGTCACCCTTGAAACTCACAGGTAATCAAAATAAAGCTTCTCTGGTATGTGACTCTTTTGTTCAAGAACTTTAGTTCCCCTTTCACTTCTGTATTACATAGTGACATGAAAAGATTGTAGATTTTAACAAATTCAATGGAAAAACATGACACATAGAAATAAGACTGTAAGGCAAGAGTACTTGTTCTTGATTGTAAAACTATGGATAGTATTTATATTTATATTCTTCAAATATTCCTAGAATTCTTTAATGAGTATATTATTTACAAAAAGAAAAATAAATGCATGGAAAATGAATAGTTGCAAAAATAATATTGTTGATATATTCTCTTTCTAAAATAAAGCTCCTAAGTTTTTCCAAATGCAAATTTTATGCAGTTCCCATCAGTAAGTTTATTTTCTATTCAGCTTCTTATTTCACTTTCTTCATTTCTTTAGAATTTCCAGATTTCTTTTAGGTCGGAAAAGGATGTCTCTTTGGTCCTCTTTAACAACTTTTAGACATTAGTTGAATACAAATAGAGCATATATACTGTGTTGTGTAACACATAAATATCTCCAAAGCATCTACGTATTTCTTTTTTACAGAGAAATGTCTCCAGGCTAGGAAATTATTTATCTATGCATTGTGTGCCACTGTAACTATGAGGGTTTAAGTGGAAAAATAATACTGGACCTATTCTCTTACCTGAAAGTTATATTTATTTATTATTCTTTCAAATGTCCCAAAAACTAATCAGCTGAAGCCCAAGAGTCCTGAATGATAAAGTGTGGAAGAGCTGTTCTAGATTTGGGAGATTCTGAGGGCAGGGTTATCAACTTTCTGCCTTTTGCAAAATACAACTTTAATAGTGTTCCAGTAGAATACTTGATTTTGAGGAAGGCTGCATACCAATGAGCCTGCCAGGCCAGTTAGCTACAAAATATAGTTGCAGGTAAATCATTTAACCATGCCCTCCAATGCTCTCCAAGAGCCCCTTTTAAATACAATTTCCACATTGAATTGAAATTATTCACATACACATCAAACCCTTCAGGCATGAGGGCTCCATGAGGGCAGAACACTTGCTTTTCCTTCCCACTCAGTCCCTCACAGAGTGCTTGGTACATAGTTGATATTTATTAAATATTCATTCCATGACTCACTTAACAATGTATTGATTGTTTTAACTGTTTGATGAATATAGCTTTAACAAGAAAATGCTTTTATAAGAAGGCTTTTTTGATAGACACAGGTTAACCACAACATGATACTTCAATATCTCCCTTTGCCAAAATCTGCTTCCCCCATTTCCTTTCACAGGCATTGATCCTAATCAATAGCACGTACCCCCAAAGTCTGTTTCAGCATCTGCTTCCAGAGAATCTAACCCATGATCGCCTGGAATAAAATATAAGACAGAACAAACCTCAAGGCAAAACACCTTTTGGGGGTTTTTAAAAATATTTTATTTATTTATTTTTAGAGAGAGGGGAAAGGAAGGAGAAAGAGAGAGAGAGAAACATTAATGTGCAAGAGAAACATCAATTGTTTGCCTCTCACACGCCCCGACAGGGGGCCCAGCCTGCAACCTAGGCACATGCCCTGACTGGGCATTGAACCAGCAACATTTCAGTCTGCAGGTTGCTGCTAAATCCACTGAGCCACACCAGCCAGGGCTCAAGGCAAAACACTTCAATGGCCCCTGTGCAAATGTTTCATCCTCATGTTCTTGTTACCCAAACAGGTCCCTTCCATCAATATACCTTCTTCAATGCTCTTCATTCCTTTTATGTTGCTTTAGTGTCTTCCTAGCATTATCTCTCCTGCATTGTTTGCTTGCTCACTGTCTCCTGTAGTAGAAGATAAATCCCATAAAGCAAAGACTTTGACTTGTTCATTACTGTGTGCCCAGCATCTAAGAGCACTGCTGAGTATAGTAGGCACTCAATAAACATTTATTGAGTAAATAAGCTATTGCTAGATTTATTATCTTAGAAGCATAAAGGGGAAACCTAGAAACCAGGTTATAGATATTGAAATTTTAATAAGAGTTTCTTTCTAGGGTTAAATTTTTTTTAAATTATTGAATGTACCAAATAGTGTCAACAGCTATAACAACAGATTCCGTTGTTATAACTATAAACCTTTGTGAAATCATGGAAATAATTACTAATTTATAAATCCTGAATGAATGCAAATCTGAGGCAGACCTTAGAGGGCTGTCATCCACATTCTCCTTCCTGTTGTAAGTTGGGTTGGTTTCCATGTAACCTTTTTCTGTATTTTGTTCTGTTTCATTTTTAGAGAAAACGGTTTCAAGGGTATTTATTTCAGGATGATCTCATCTCTCATGAGATAGAGGGGGAATAAAGAGTGACTGGGAAGAGAAGGGAAGAACATTAGTCTATGTGGACTCAGCCTACACATTAATTCAGTATAAAAGTATATATTTAAGAGTATGTCTTGAATGACTCTTAAGATCTGAGCATAATGCTAAATTCCTTATCTCATATAGAGTGTATGCTAGTGGGGAAGACAAATATTAGGCAGGTAAACAGATAAGCAAAATATGTAATGATAGCTTGTGAAAAACACTTTTAAGAAAAAAAAATAGTGTACTGTCTATGATAAAGAGTAAAGGAGCAAGGCGGGATCAGTGTTAAGACAGGATGATCACCTTCCCTGAGGAGGTGCCGTATAGGCTGAGACCTGAAGCACAGGAAGAAACGACTCATGCAGTGATCTGCTGGAAAGAGGGAAAAGGCAGAGGGAAAAGAATGAGCAAAGATCATGAAGCAGGAATGGACGTGGTGGTTTGAGCAGTACTGGGACTAGCGTGAGGCACTCACCAAGGTTGCAAAATTCAAGGGGTGAGGGAGTGCAGAAAATTGTAGTGATCAAGATAAATAATATTTTAATGCAAGAAAGACAAAGGGGTTAAGCAAGGGAAATAAAGAAAGACTCATGGACACAGACAACAGTATGGTGATTTCCAGAAGGAACAGGGATTGGGGGGAGGTAGGGGAGGATAAAAGGGAATAAATGGTGATGGAAGGAGACTTGACTTGGGGTGGTGAACACACAATACAATATACAGATGATGTGTTGTAGAATAGTACCCCTGAAACCTATATAATTTTATTAACCAATGTCATCCCAATAAATTCAATAAAAATATAAATTTAAAATTCAAACTAAAAACAGAAAACCTGTGATAAACAAAATATCAATATTTTCTATAAGGATAGATTTGGTATCACTGACTTTTCTTTTGTCTCAAAATCCAATATAGCTGGTACTGATCCTATTTTTAAATTTTTCATGTTTTGTATGCCATTCACCTCACCAGTCCCAGCTCTGAGAGTGTGAAACAGAAGCAAAAGAGTGTGATTGGAGTATAGTGAGTGAGAGGATGATGATAGGAGAGGGAAGCAGGAGCTAAGTCCTTCAGGCTATTGTAGGAGAGATTTTATTCCTGGGCCATGGGAAGGCATTGAGGAGATTTAAGCAATGGTGCATCCGGCTTCTGTTGGTACTTTAAAAAGATCATTCACACTGTGGGTACAAGAGCAGAAGCAGGGTGAGGAGGGAGGAGCTTAGGTAGGGGTTGCCCTAGATACATGCAGTGGAAATATATTTTGGAGATAGAAACAAGGCTTACTGATATAATAGAATGGAGAGAATGAGCGAAAGGAAGCGATCACAATCCTCCTCATTTCTGATTTGGGCTGAGTGGAAGGTGGTTGTCAGGTACTGAGGCAGAAAAGACTGAAGAAGGAACAAATTGGAAGAAAGGGTATAAATCTAGAATTTTTATTGGTTTGTTTGTATTTCAAATGCCATTGAGCCAAATACTATATCAAGTAGACATCTGGAAATACGAGTTTAGATTTGAGAGGAGAAATCTGAAGTACAGGTAGAAATTTGAGATACAGCATCTCAGAGATGACTTTCAAGACTCTGCAAATGGTCGAACCATTTAGAGGAAAGTTTAGAACAGTGCTTTGCACTCTTAACTGCTCATTAGAGTTGCTATTCTATCAGTTCACATTTCACCTCTGATACTTCACACTTTTTCCTCATATTTTCTATTTCATACTTCTCACTTCACGCTATCTCCCACATGCGAATATAAAACTTTTGAACAGTATAATTCTATTTGCCTGTTTCATCCTTTGTGCCATTGCTGTCCCATCTTTTACTTCTACATTCATCATAAATTCTACCTCAAAATGTTATCATTTTTGCTTTGAAGAATTAAATGTCTTTCAAGAAAATTAGATGGGAAAAAACATATTTGTTTATATTTACACATTTATCATTTTTGTGCTTCTCATTCCTTTCTATAGATCCAAGTTTTCATATGGTTTCATCT